AAACGCAACATTATAATACTTTTTATATATATATACCTATATATAAGTATACGCGTACGTAGGTAGATTGTCACACCGGTGTGTTTGTATTGTAACTTTTAGCATCAAGTGGCTTCCGGGCACTTATGTCCGCGACTGGGCCGGTTGTCGCCGGGAACAACCTGGATACACTCAAGTGTCGGGCGAATTTTCGTATTATTTTTTTTTTCGACACGGCACCCCCCGCCGCCATTCGCGAACGCTTTAACGGCTAAAAAACGGCTCTTCAGACTACCCCCATGTGTACACGCCGTCGTCATCGTCACCGCCACTGTTTATTATAATATCGAGTGCGTACAGCCCCGATCGGTAAATAATAATTAAATCGTTTCGGCGACAATATAATAATGTGTATTTATCCGAAATCGTTTCATTGTTACAGCTTTAGAACAGTACATACGTATAATACGTTTTATAATGCGTATGTATAGGCACGAATCATCGAGATCAAAAAACAAAAATTACTCTATACGTACCTCGTACTATATATAGTCACAAGCTATTACGTATAATATGCACATACACATTATTCTTTGAATTGTTAGCCTTTTTCTAGTAGGTACCTATATTATATTGTTTTCATTGTGTACACATACTCTTCTAGGGTTCGAATAAGTTATTGATTATGAATTATACGTACTTGTGTTTAAATAAATTAAATAATAATTAATTGTAATAAGTCCACAATATTCAAAACCGTATTACATTTTTACGTGTAAGCAGTTTGTGAGCAAAATCTACCTCAATGTATTAAAGACGATAAACATACACGTGAAACTTATTTGGTATCTGGATTTTAATGGACCTATAAAGGTACCTATGGCTGTTATATTATCCGATTATTTCCAATGAAATAAAAGGGATTCTGTTTTTTCGAATTAATGATGGTTATTATTATTTTACGCGTAATATATTATTATCATAGGCTTATCGGTAACAGTTAAATTTATAACGACGTGCCATAATCCATTTTCCCAGCAAAAGCTGTCCATATCCGCTCAAAAGTTTCGTGTATCAATCTAATAAATCTAATTCAGTGTTCTCAAACTTATATGCGCGTGACTCTATACAGTCGACTCTCGGTAACTCGAAATCCTAGACAAAAATTTTCTTTCAAACGCTATGTAGTACTCAATTAGTTTTTAATATTTCGAAATTTTTAGTAACTCGAATTTTGTTTCCACCTTTTGAACTTGGCGTTACTGATAGTCGACACTGTACAACAACAATAATATAGTATACATGTGTGATAATATGTAATATGGACGCGCAACCGGTTCATCTCGAGGCAAGGCGATTTTTGCGCGACTCTTATCGTAGATAATAGTATCTAAGTATGATATTTATTTCTACTCCAATCGCACCCCATAATATACATAAGATGTGTTATGCACACGTCGTATAGAGCGAGGTCCCGCAAAATCGGCCACTCGGACGAAAATCTGCCGTCAATTACCGACCAAACATTTCGTCTCTCGTCCATATATAATACATGGCATTATATAATGTATACTATAATCCACGCAAAGGGCGTGCTAGTGACATATGCTCTTCCCCACGCCGTCGTCCAAGCCGCCGTCATCGGTATACGTTTGTGTATATATATATATATATACAGAGAGAGATTATCGAATTCACACACACACACGCGCGCGCGTACACACCCAGCTGTCTTCTTTATAAACTATAATATATATTATATGCTATCGTTGGTCGTCGGGAGGGGATGCAGGGCTTTATCGTCGTATATGTGTGTGTGTGTGTGTGTGTGTATAGTGCATTATAAACATCATCGCCTCTTTCTCTCAGAGTCTATTTATTTTTTTCATCCCCCCCCCCCTCCCCCATTTCACACACACGCACACCCCGAACTATATACATATGCGTGCGGTACACTCCACAATGGGCGCACATCACTGCACGGTGCGGCGTGCCCTAGGGGTAACTTTATCCTCTCGCGTCGCGCGCACATAACACAATATAATGTATATAATAGAGAGTCGAAACGCCATTTTTGTCTGCCGGCCAGCTATATGTATAGAAAATAATATACGCTGTGCTAATATGACTGCGGCGGAGCGAGTGCAACGAAAACAGACTGATCGCGTAAATCGGGTGTGCGCGCGATGCGTGTCCCGTCGAAAACCCCGACTCGCACTCACATATGGGGCTGCGTTTTATACTATTAATATTATTATTGCGTACTAAACCGTTCGACTCCGGCCCGGGGGATTTGGTCAGAGGGACACCCCTTTTTGCCCCCACCCCTCGCGTAATCGTGCGTTCCCTGTTGATGACGTATATTATAATATAATAAATATACATGCGGGCAAATTACACTGCGTTTTCATGCGGTGAGAATGCGTACGAAAAAAAGTCAGCCACAGCATTATATTACAATAATGGCTTTGTGTTCGGTGGTCGATAACGGTCGAAACTGATAACGCTGATTGCATGATCGTCCGGACCGCCATCACGCAGACAGACATAAACAATTGTTGTCATATCGAATAACCTATCAAGAACAATAATAACGTAACGTCTGATGTCTAAGTACTCTAAATCGTTTTTACTTTACCGTCGGAAAACTTCGACCAGCCGCCTAGGGAATAGATGATTTTTTTCTATCTAATTATCTGCACAGTTCATTGTGTTTGTCGAATTATTCACAATTATTGTGTTTCGTCGGGAAAAATGTCGCTATACGTGTTATAAACGTTGTGATATGTGTTTATTCCGTTTTTCTAATGTTTAGGAAAACTTTTTCTCAAAACGTACCTAAACAACGCTTTTTGCCGAGTTCGTTTTATAATTTTAGTATAAATACCATAGTTTCCTGACTATTTTATCGTATATCTACTTAACTCACCAGTTACCTTATCAGTGGCTGCTCGTAAATAGAGACAATGGGGCGATCGCCCCTTCCTCTTTTAAAATTGTCATTTATTACTAATTTATAAGTTTAATATCAAATTTCAAATTTATATTGCAGTATAATATTGTCAAAAATAAAAATTGTGTCTCTTATATTTACACTAATAAATATTATGAAAACATTATCAGATAATAGTCGTTTAAAAATAAATCATTCAACGCTGTAGCTTCTGAATATCGATAACTAATATGCAATAACAATTTGGCGGGACCTGCGAGCAGCGCATGCGATGCTTGGGCGATGTTAAAAGTCGTTCGTCAAACTTTGATCGGAATACAAAAACTAAGAAGGGGGAACACAATAATAAATAATAATACTGCCGCTGGGGTGAATGATTTTAATCGCCCAATGTGCACGGATTCCGAATTTGCGTGTGTTTATTATTTACTTTGTGCGGTCATAACTTGTAATCAATTATTATTTCAATTTGGTATTTGTTTCCAAAAATATACATTGAAATTATTTAGTTTATATTTTTATTTTTCTATAAAAATGTGTTGACAATTTAAAATATTTTTAATAATTTATGTGTATTAAATGGATTTAATTAAATAACTATTTTTAATATTAATTGCGTTCGATGCTTTTCATAAACGAGTAATTTTATATCACCCTCCCACTTTCAAGCACACGAGCCGCAACTGCACCTTATAAAATAAACAGTGGACATAAGTCTTCAGAACATCATGACCGAATTTTTGGGCACGCTCCAGAACTAAGATAATATACTTATAGGTAATAGGCGTAATTTAATATATTATGAACTCACTTAAACCGTCGTCATTTCTGTTGATCGTCGTGACGTTGACCTGCTGTACTACTTGGCGCTTGGTTCACTGCTCCACGGGAATTTCGTTGGAAGAATTGAAAGAGATCGAAGTGTGTGCAATCCATGATACTGATTGCTCAACTGTATGGTCTAATTACAGATCGTCAGAGATGGACTGGCGAACGTTGGCCACGATACTATTAGAGTTTAATAGCTAGATGCTACTTTGGCAGTAGACTAAGACTAGGGTCTACATTGTGTGTCGACAGGGTGTTCGGGTCAAAAACCTGAGATGCAAACGATGACGTCCACTCGTAAGTGAAAGAAATTGTAAGATATGCGATGTGAGCTTTGCGCGGGATACCAGGATATGAATTCCGAGGGAAGGCTAAACCCCTCAGAAATTTAAATACCCCTCCCCCAAAATTTAAGCCTTACAATAAATGTTATTGTTTCTGTTATTTGTGTTTGATTATTCTATAGCCTATTCTTAAAACGTCAACTAAACGTCCGCTTATAGGTCCACAGTACAGCCTCCATAGTTTTTTGACGTTACCGATATTACATTCTTATTATGTAAAATTTGTCAATAAAAATATTATATTACTGTAATCGCGTGATTTTTTTCTTCTTTGTGTTACTTATTGCATTTTATATTTGATATATAAGTGCTTTAATTAAAAGTTATTAATAAGTATGTAAAAATCTTTTTATCATTGATAAAACCCGTGTATATTGTATTTTTTTCTTTTTTTATATAAACATCGATTCAACTTGTTTTCCTGTGTGACCTCGGGACGTTCCTGTTTTAAACAATACTTGACATCCCGTGGTGCCATCACAATTGTTAATCACCCGCATTCTGTTTTTTGAGTGTAGAGGCACTCAAAAAACAATAACAAAAAAATCTCGTATTTAACTAGATCGCCGCCGTTCCCACACATCCGGAATTTTTTTTCCAACAAAACAAACCGTTCTCGCGATATGTATAAATTTTATTCAAGAAAAATAATTCAATCACAGTTTACAATACTATGTATAAAATAAAACGTAAAAATAATATTAGTAATAGTAGTACTTGTAAAATGTGCTCAAAACAGTAGTTATATATTATTTCATTTTAACTAAGTATATAATAATATAATATAAACATAATAGGTAATTTGTTTAATTTTTTTAAACCCTGGAGCGTCGCGTGTATAATAATAATGAATTTAAGAAAATATATAATAGTTAATGTATAATATTTATGTACAATATCACTATGTATATGGATCGTATATTTGATAGTATAATAAATTATTACAGCCTTAATAATAATAATATTACGTACCCATATATATATTAGCGTTTATGTCAAAGTCGCGTAAAATGTAGGTAAATAGTTCATCACATGGCATTTAACATTATATATATATACGCCACTTCCTTCATTGCAAGCAATGGCAAATCTTAGCTTTGCTGATGATAGTCTGCAAGTGCGGTGCCGTCTGCAAATAGTTAGTGTATGTGCCGCACACGAACGGTTCGATGGGAGTTTGGCCGATGGTGCGGCGGAAGAATAGCTCGACCACTGTGGTTTTTGGCACAGACCGGATGCTGGGCAATATCTCAATCAATTCTTCGTACCGCGCGTCTGGCCGGGCCAAATGCACGTGATGTACATGCCGTCTTAGCGCCTCTTTGCTCTTTACAGACAACCCGTCCAAAATGGTCTCGGTGTCTTCGGAACTGCTGCAGCCGCGACCCTTGACCGATTCTGCGCAGCAAACGATATTTTCGATTAAACATTAATAAATACGGTGCGTAACGTGTAATCATTAGCGGCGTTCCAGTAAATTTTGCATTTGTTTTTTTTTTATTACTTATTTTAGTCATAAATAAACACTTTTAAAAGAAACCACCTGTAATTTTCTACTTTATCTATTATTTCTAATAGACATAAAAATACAAAGGGTTCAAACTTTTATATGCAGACATGCAGTAATTTGTTTAGTTGAGTATTTGGAAAAGGAAATCGATAATTGGTGAACACCACTCAAATTTAAATATTATGCGAGGTTTCTATTTTATTGTTGACGATATTAATTTTTGCCGGTCATTGTAAATTGTAATTATACTACGTAGGTATATATCATAATCCTACCTGATTTGAGCAGTACAATTTCGTTCAACAAGTACTGTTCGATCGGATCGACTTGTCGGTGTTTGACCGCAGCCAACGTATCCTTGAACACCGCGATTTGTTCATCAATGTCCATCGATGTTCCAAAATTAGACCGGTGTTCTTCGTGCAGCAAAGAGATATCGGTGTCAGAAAAATATTGAGCGGCTGTCAATATGAACAGTTCGTGCCAACTCTCTCTGAGCAATTCAAACTTGATAATCATTTAAAGAAAAACACATGTAAATATCGCACGGAATATATATTTCGTTTTAAATATCGAAAACTATGTATACCTGGTCGACAAAAGGTAGAGTCATTAGAGCTGGAAAACTCTTGATCGTGGAAACTGTGACTAAAATTGAAGCAGCCGTCTCGTAAACTGCTTGTGTGAGTCTCATAGTGTTTAAAAATCTCGGCATCATTGACATCTAGAAAATCAAAAACAAACAAAGGTATTTTATGATTAAACTTATAATGTTTATGTCGATAATAATTTAAATTTCAAAACTCTAAAAGTAATTTACCTGTGGTCGGAATGCCGACAAATATAAATGCGAATCAGGAATGTATCTACCGGGTGGAGTTGAACAAGTGGCCGAACATTCTGGAGACCTCTTGGGCGTTAAATCTAACGGCGGTGAGTTACTTGCCGATCGATCTTTTGAGTAACAGAGTCCTTGAAGTTGTCGACGAACTGTTGAAGTTCTAGGACCGCGTTCGTGTTGAACAGCTTTAACGATAATAAAATAAAAATTAATAATTAATTCAGCACAACATAAAATCAATTATTAAATTTTCTCTTACCGTCTTTATTCATGCCCGAAAGCATACATTTTCGGAGTCTGCATGCTCGACATTGATTCCGATGCGTTTTATCAACCGGACATGCGCCTTCCGATTTTGATTTGCAAATATATTGTCTATTGCGCCGAATAGATCTCTAAAAAACAAAATGATAATCACATTATTAGGGTGGTATATTATTTACTATAGCCTATAATATATTTTACTTATGTAAAATATTTTACTATGGTTTAAACATATTGAATTAACTTCGTTATTAAAATTCTTATTATAAATACATGTGATATTATAGATCTATTGGCAACAAGGTATAAGATATATTGTATTTTTGACTCTTGATTTTTAAAAACAAGATACTGTACTTACTTTAAAGAATCCGGCACATCCGTCGCATGCGTATATGCCGTAATGTTTGCCGGACGAAAAGTCCTTGCACACTTTACACGGTATATCATAAAGGATCCGACCTGAAAACAAATATAAAACGTCAAATTTTTCCGTGGGAATAAATACGCATCATGGGAACTATCAATTATCGATGACAAATGAGGATATGATGATGATTACGACGACGACCTGCAAATTAATTATATGAACAATAATAATTTCTCTTGTCGTACGCGACAGATGGACCGTAAAACAACACATACCCATGTGATCCACCTGACGACTTCCGAAATGTTATTTTCACCCCTGTGGACTGAACAGTGGTAAGGGGGAGGTTAGTGGGAGGTCTGCTGTGCGGTCGTTTTGATCCGATGGTTCCGGTGCAGCTATTTACATGTGCTTGCCCAGTACGGGAAAGACGTAGGAAATACAACAGGTCCGGAAGTTAGCGTGCTGTATTACGCCTTCTATACACATATACGTACGTGACTAACGCCACCACTTCCTACCGCCCCATTCCCATATATCACGTGAAATTATCGCTAAAGCAAGTGCATTATTGAAACACACCCTCTATATATATAATAATAATAATAATAAATATAATATGTAGGTACCTACGTAACAAACAATAGGGCAAACAAGCGTAATTAGTGCACCGCCGCCCCCCGGTGTCATCTGTCACTGTACTAGTGTGCTCTATTTATCGTGTTTATAGGAACGAATTTTTATACGGTCACGATAAATGTATAAAATTATTGTATATCGTTACGAATATGCATCATCATCATGATAATAATAGCAGGTATAATACGTGTGAGAACTGTGTATTCGCGTTTGACGCGGGGGAGTGATGGCGATGACGTGCTTTATGGACACATGGTCTAACCAAGATAATTATAATATTATTATATACACACGTTAAGTGTTGTTATATAGCTATATCGTATCCGTCGTTGCTGCTCCCGGGGTTTTTTTTCCCAGATCATTTGTTTATGGGATAAATTACTACGTCAGTCTAATTTTTATTTCAACCCCTAGTTCAATGAAATCAATCAGTATCGTATTTTGACCATGCACGTATGTATTAAACTGTAATATGATTGATTAAAAAAACATAATTATAAAGTAGGTATTAAAATATAAGTCCATATAAAGCATATAAAACGTACTTGCCGATTTTATTAAAAATATATTATAACCATATTATTTGTTTTTAATAATAAAATTGTATAAATAAATTAGTAATGAAAAAACTGATTACAAATAATTAGATAAGGTACCTATTAATAAAATTTGCCGTTTAAAAGATATTTGAAATATAATATATAAATGCTTTTATTTTAAGTTTTGTAAGAAAAGTAAAATAATAACTTATTTTTTATCATCTATTTTTATAAATAATAATTTTTTATTAAAAAAATATAAAAATTTATTTGTTTACTTTTTTTACGTACACTTATTATTTGTACAATATTTTAAAGATACTTTGCTTAGAAAAAAATAAAACTTTGTATTATTGGTATCGTTTTAATTAAGTATCTATTATATCAGTTTATTTTAATTTTGGTTTGTTGGAATAGGTAATATTAATTTGTACAATATATTTTTTAATGCATTTATACATAAAATATTAGATTGATAATAATATCTAATGATAATTTTTCAAATTATTATACAAATACGTTTTAAGCACATTGCAAAACCTCGTAATGTATAACTTTTGATTCTACAATATGCACAATTGCACAACCAGCATTTAAGTTTCTTTACTAAAATCCATAATATATTCATATGATCATCATGAATATTAACATTTCAAATTATAAATAAGTATTCAAAAAAAATTATTCAATTAACTTCAACTGTTCTTGTCGAAACAAACTTTTGATTTAATTCGTGTAGCGTACTACTGACACAAATACAATTCGAAGCATTGGACAGAGCTTGTATACCTAAAATTACTTTTACAGAATCTATAAATATTTATTGTGGAGCATTCATTCAACATACGATTAGTGAAATGTTCAAATTTCAAATGTTTTTATCTTATTTATTTTAGATATTATTATTTAATTACCTTTATAATAAATTAGTACTTATAATTAACATCTAATAATCTATATCGAAATCGAAATATATTTGTATTAAATTAATATTCAATATATTTAAAAATAATAAATATTATAGAATAATAATAATATTAATGTAAGTCATTTGTACATAGAAGTATTCTAATTAATTATTAGTTTTAAAAATATGATTTAAACATTTTTATAAAAAATCTCATTAAATCCTAGCTTTTTATACACCAGTTTTTGAAATGAAAGCCAAAGATAAAAATTAAAAGAAAAGTTTCATTCAACAAATCAAACACAAATTTCTTAATAAAATATACATTGATTATATTTAATTACTTATAATATAGAGTAAAAGAATAGTTAGTCAAATTCTACGTTTTAATTTATTCGTGAACAGCAACAATGTTTGATATATTATAGTTTAAACAATATATATGGATAGAGTTTACCTTAAAAAACTTACACTATAGTATAAATATTCACTGTGTATCAAAACGGAATGAAAACTAATTGTTTGATTTTTTACTTAGTGTTGGGTATAAAAAAATGATAAAATACAGGTCAAACACTGAATAATGATGAAAAATATGCGCGGGTTTTCGGGTGTATGAATAAAATAGTCCAAATGCACTAAAAATTGTTCACGGATAAATTAAACCGTATAGCCAATCTTTAAAGTATTATAATAAATACACGTGTATATGTATATCGTTTGATAATTATATTAGTATTAGGTATATTAAAAGTTAAAAACAAAAGCAGTTTGGTCTCAGATTAATAATTTTCTAATTCTTTAAGTACAGTGCGTTATCTAATATTGGTTTTTCAATGATACAATAATACAAAATGTCGTCTAAAGCTAGAAAGGTATTATCTATATTTTAAAGATATTATTGAACAGATGCAGCACACTAAAAATACATTTAGATTCATAAGAAATAATCAAATTCAAACATTAAATGAATAAAGAAATTAAAAATAGAGTATCTATTTGATACTATATGCACAACTAGACTTAAATTTTAAGGGATACTAAAATAATGTATACCTATTAAACTCGCAGAGTCTCTATTCCCCATTCATCCTAAATTATAAATCTAAACATACCTACATTTTAAAGCCATTAATAAAAAAAATTTGTAATATTTAACATTATAATTTATTTACTAATATGTTGCTCTTAAAAAGTAGAAAGTAAATAATTACTAATAATATTTAACTTCACATAATACAGCACAGTTTATATAAAAATATATAAATGCATAATAAAAGGTAGCTATTTAACAAATAATATTGATGGTTTTGTTTATTTTATAAATTTGCAATATTGAAATTTGTCACTAAATCACGGTATACTGTTTTATTCAAATAATACTATTATTATAACGTTTGAAATGTAAGACATGCTGATTACATAGATAGTAATTTAAAGATGGCTTTTAAGACAACTAAATTCTCAATATCTATTATTGAAAGACAATTTTCATTTTAAACTATTAGATTAGATATAAAATAAAATATTTAAAAACAAAAATATTCTAAAATAAAAATGTGAACAGTGTAACTTACACTGTGTAAGTTAAGGGTTATTATAATTTTAAACGTTTAAATAAATGTCTGGGATTTGAAGTTTTGGGGATGCAAAACTATGATATTATAACTATAGATACATGCACTTCGCTGTTACAATTTTTATTATATACTTATACTATGCTTAATTTTTAATAGATAGTTTTTTGGTAATATTGTGAAAGAGTATTGAATATTTTGTAGTTTATGATACTATATGGTTTATGACTTAACAGTTTAAACTGTTGTTAAAGATCATGCTAGATAATTTTAATATATTATTATATATTACTTAGTTATTCTGTAAATTTCTAATAATATTTTAAATATTTAATAAGAACCGATTATAAATATTGTTTTATATGATAAAGTATAAATGATTATTATAAATTCAGCTACAATGTTGATTATATATTCGTTTCATGGATTCCAACAGTATATCTTTGTTGGAATTTTTAATAAGTAATAACAAATAATAACCAAAATACTCCATTGATGTATAATTAAACATATCTATCTACGAGTATCTATCAAATACGTTATTTTAATTTTAAAAGGCGTGTATCTAAGTACATTTTTAAACGATAAACTGATAAATTCGATTATCATCATTCGTCAGTTTATAAATGAACAAGGCAATTAATTATACTATACAGAAAGAAGTTATTAATATTTGTATAACCAATTTGTTTATATACTTTTTTTTATTTTTTATTTTTACAGTCGTGTGTATTTATTAAATTTATTTATACCAATATTGAAATAATATTTTTTTTTTTAAAACATATATAATACATTTAAATAAATATTGAAAAATACGGTAACATCTTAGTAAAAGACTTGAACGGTAGCATACGACATCGACCGATTTCGTTCGAAATAATATTGTCATAAACATTATAGTATTGTTGGACTTACTGTTTGTAGGTTTGGTAATGGCGTTGGACGAATGTTCTGCGAAGTTTTGCATCGTGATCCCTGTGTGTATTTGCACTGTTTGCAGAATGTGAATATAAAATATTATAGTTTAAGTGAAATAGGTTGAAAAAAAACAAAAACCAAAAATTATAGATGACAAAAAAAAAAAAAATTAACCGAGTCAACAAAAATCCGACGAACAGCCGACGACGGACGCACTATATATGGTCGTGACGATCGAGATCAAAATGTCAACTCTTCGATCCCGTCGTCGTCAGACACGTCCCTGTGACGGCAGCGACATAGACACCCCACGGGTTTGGGCGTGTCGTACGCGATCCGCATCCGCTGCCATTGGTCGGAATGTCGCCACAACCGGTGGCGCGGACCGCTATATATTGTAGGGATCCACCGTCGGGGGTGGTTTCCAAAATGCTGTCCGTACAGCGTTATATTCTATTATTTTTTTTTTTTACAGAGACGACGTATAACATAATATACCTATATATACGTATATATGAGTGTATATTTGTATATATATTGTGCGCGTGATAAAAGTCATAATGCCGACGGAAAAAAAGAAAGAAAATATACGAACGCATTGCACACGCACACAAACACCGCGGTCCGCAGTGATGGACGTGTTCGTCGAACCGAAAGGGATCTCCGATGAAATAATGTACTCCGGGGCCGGGCGGCGGCAGATGATAAAAACACAATAAATGTAATAGCGGCGATGTATACATTAGATAAACCCGGCCCGAGGATAACCAGAAGGCAATTAGTCCCGTATATATTATATATACGCCCTTTTTGTATATTATGTTTTCCGTTACAATATTATACTTATATATACTCGTATATATATATGAAGATAGGGGATGGCGACGACGCGAACGTTTGTATAGCTGATACCGATTTCGCTGTTTAAATACCATATACCTAAATACGCGTCAAATAATATATGTATAGTCTATATTATGTTTATAATATATCTACTATGTACAATATCGTCCTTTAACGGGCACACAGTGATTTTTAAGCTTAAAAATAAACACGTGACAAGAGTTAAACGTGCCCCGAGGGTATAGGCATGAACGGAAACAATATTAATATTATAATAGGTACGTCATATAACTCAGTATAAGATCGTGGTACACTCCATTCTACGAAGTGCACATGCGCGTGAAATATATTATGCTCGTATGCTAGTATATGAAATATATATTTAAATTTATAGATGTATCGATATGTATAGGTGCATTGTGTTTGAATATTATTACCAAAACGCATCAGCCGATTTTGTAGGTGTTATGATTTTTTTTTTTTTTTTTGGGGGGGGGGAGATTTTCAATTTTTTTTAAAATAATTGTTCAAAAAATGGATTTTTTGATAAATAATAATAAACATTTAACGAAGAGATTTCATACATAAAAAAAACATTGATTCTATTTTAGTATTAGAACTTCTTTTTTGTTTAACACGCACGTTATTGTTATGTGACTACTCGTGTTTATACAAACAATGTATGTTCTTACATTAGGTATAGGTACTATACATATAATAACTGTTACAACAAAATAAATTTATTATCAAGTCAGAAATTGATCAAGGCTAACTTTTAAGAGCGCGGAAATGTTGACGTTTAATAATAATTTGTACAATGTAAAAGAATTTTTAAAATTTTACAATAACTAAGTGAAAATGGCATATACGGTAATTTAATTTCTTAATCAGGCGACTAACAACGTATATAGGTTAATATGTCGATAATAAACTACTAATAGTGACATTAAAGTCAATGCCATTGAGACGAAACAATTACAGCAGTTTTCTGGTCACGATTTGCGATTGTTCCGTATTGATGAAACCAGTAATAGGAGATGACAATGCAACTAAACTGAGACGTGACTTGTTTAATTTACTTCATTACTTACTTGACTTTTAAACAAATGTTTCATCGATTAAATTCAAATTTCATATCAAATAAGATATATTTGTCATTTGACAAATAAATGTTATTTAAAGTTTCAACCAATATTATTGAATTTAATTATTACATATAGGTAATATAACTAAAAACTATAGTAAATATGACAATATTATATATATTATGATGATAATAATTTTAGCGATCGTTATTTTTTATTATTACACAATTTACAAATATTAATGAAAATACGAATTATCACTAATATTTTACTTTAAATCAATACAAGATTTATTGACGTTATAAAATTAATGAAAACTTATTTACCAATTATTTTCTATTAATATTCTATTAAGCCGTCAAACTCCATTGTATTTCATTCATATTTTAAAACATTGCAACATTCAATGGAAACATAATAGTTATAACCTACAGCATTACCTGCAAATTCCAATGGTATAGTTAAGTCTTAAATATTATTATACAGTCGGGATCTGTCTTCGATTTCTCACAGCTCTCTATACGGATTAGTAACGATGTTATTCGAGTTTTTCATTCATTTTATCCATCACCCAATTTTCCATATGATTGACTCTACTAAATTAATATTATATATAATATTTTTCAAAAGGATCTTTTAAAAAAATCGATGCAATGGGTGTGTTTTTATTTTATTTTTTATGTAGAGATATTGCTGATCCAATCCATTGTACAAACAGTACTCGAATAACAGCGGAAGCCCCTATTTATGTACAGACCAATCTTAGGTGAGTTAATCCTTCGACGTTTTGTAATCATAATGAAGCGTAGTCGTTATCATAATCCATTAAAAAAAAAATCAGAAAATTTATTTGAAATGTATTCAAGGCGATTATAATATAGTAATTATATAATTATTACTGCTTCCGTTCACTTCAATTTTTACTCTAAAAATGTTCGTTGTTAGTTACTACTTATAATTATATAAAATTAATTAATAACTTCGAAATTTTACGAATTTTAATTGCTATTTATTTATCTACATTTTATGCTAAATGTAAATTGAATAACTAAGTACTTTGTAGTAAATATATGAAATTTGCTTTAACTAATAAACTTTATTATTAACATCGGAATACGAGTAATATGTGCCTATTTGACATTTGTATATTTTACAATTTTCAATAAAGGTACTTTTTTCCTTATTGTGAAGTAAAATATTTTTCACAATCCTATATAAACTATGCATAACTATGATTTATGAATGAATTCATAAAATATTTATCAGTTAAATTTAAATTTATTCTTTGTTATTATTTTCAGACTAAAAAAAAAATATAAATGTCTTTTAACCATTTAATAATTTTACGGGATGAGAATATGAGAACTATACAATATAGGTAGTCAAGTCGTTGCAACGGTTAGCAACCGATTTCCACGGTGTCACGTACGAGCCAGGAACGCCTCTTGTATATTGAGTGACAAAGATTGAATAAAAAAAAAACCATTCTTAAAATATAATATAATAATAAAACCGGATCTCAGCGTCTTCTTGGCGAGTATTCCCATCGGGAAGACGTTAAAAAATCCTTTGATGAGATATCACTTTATATCCATAAGTCCTTTATTTTACTAAAGGGATGAATGAAGTCCGAGCGCCTCCTTCTTCCTGTAGTGTTGTTTCGTGTACATGTACTTCGCGGGGCGTGACCAAATATCGTGTTACTGAAACATAACTATATTATCTTCTACAAGTTACACAATTCCAACGCAATTCCAACGGTTTTTCAACGTTATTTTACCATTGAAACTGATTTTATACATAATAAATGGAACTATATTATATGAAGGTATAGATTTATCGCTTATATATTTATTACAATCGATTATATTAAAATATTTTTTATTATATTAGTATAGTATTATAGCTTTGTGAACTATAAATTTTGTATGTATTTATAATCATGTATATACTATTCGTTGGTATCTATACAATGTTGAATATTATATCAATGTATATGTGATGACCTAAAATCTAAAAATTGTCTTGATTCAATACAGAAATAACTGATTCAAAAGTAAGAATTCAATTTCACACATTTATTAACAACTTATATCAGGTATATCTTCTTTTCTTTACTTCTACACATTTTGGACTATAGGGAACGAATAAAATTATAGTTGCAGACAATACAGTAACCGTTACCAAACACTTTTATCATCATATTATATTAAAATTGGAAAATAAAATAATATTCAAGCGCAGTTTTATTTTGAACTGTTAGAGTTTTATGTATTTAATACTATTTATAAAATTTATAAATATAAAAACCATTGATCAATTAAAAACATAAAACAAATTGAGTTGTATTGAATGAATATTGAATTGGTTATTGGTTATTGCTATAAACAACAAATGATTATAAATCACATTTCTAATTAATATAGAAGTATTTTTCACTTAAGCATTTGAGCAACTATTTAAATGTCTCATAATTATTGTTATATATTTATACATAATCTATGTTTCGTATATTTTTGTATGGTGTTAACGTTAATATTAAATGCTTCATCTGTAAATATTTGTCATTACGCTTAGGTTGTTTTTAAAACTTTTTATATTATATTCAATAATAGGGTTTTCAAAAAAAAAAAAAAAAACTTCTCATATTTTAATACATTTAATCGAAATCCATTCCTTGGTAATCTAAAAAAATGTATGAATTTGTTCATGTACAGGCAGATCACTATTTCATCGATCTCGAAGTTGCTTATATACATACTGCCATACTGGACAATAATTATTATACCTAAGTATCCACAATTCACATACAAACTAGAGTTGTTTCTAAGCAAAAGACATACTAAATTTACTGAGTATATGGTACTATCTATATTCTATAGTATTGTTTCTACACATCGTAAAAGCGATGTCATCTTAAATTAATGATATCGTATTTCGTATTATTATAAACACGCTGGTTCACGTATATTTATAATATTACGTTTATTATCATCTATTCGTCAAAAAACTTTTAAGACATTTAATTGTTTACGTCCTTACTGAATTTGTACCTGTCGGAAACATCGACATAATACACAAGAAAACTTGTTTGATTCTTCGTTTTAGCTTTTGTGTGTCT